AAAACACAAGTGCATACCACGGTTTTGCTTGAATTCATCTCGTACAATGAAAATATCTTCAATTACACCGAAAGGAGAAAATATCTGACAATATAATCATTCACTCAGTACTTGACATAAATGGCTTGAAAAGTGATAAGCAAACTAAAGTTGTGTTTTTCCATAATTAATTCTAATGAGATCAGACAGATTTCTATGTATATAAGGCACAAGGAAATCAGTATTCTCCATTCCTTTCAAAGAAAAACAAATAAATAATGATAAATCGTACATACTTCTTCAATTTCCCATTTCAGAGCCTGTCTATTCACGCAGCCAACATACAACTTGTGGACATGTAAAAAGCTCCCTAAAAACAAAGGAAGAAAATCATATCAGCGAGAAGTAGATAGGTCCCATTTTTACGTGAGCATACATGCAACATAACGACGAGGATTTGCAAATATGAATCACAATATGCAAAATATAGATTTCAATAAAGAAATATTCCAAACATTTTGTCCAATGAGCAGTAGAGAGACTAATTGGGTTTTAATGGAGAAGATAATCACCAAGGCGTTCCCGTTCTCCATCTGCATATTTAACTATCATAGGAATCGCTGCCTGGATGAAATAAACATATCAGAAAAATTATATGAATTTCTGGAGAATAGAACTTTCGCACTCTTGATATCTACTGCCAAGTTTGTGGTAACTAACCCCAGGGAATATATAATGACTTTGAAAAGCTGCAATAGCTCGCTCAGCTTGGTCTACGGTTTCAAACTTGACAAAGCAGAACTCTAGAAGAATATAGAACAAAAAACGAAAACAAAAGACAATTATAATTAAGTATATCAAAGTTGAGTGACTATAAATAATTATTCCAGGTTTAGCACAAACTAGACCAACAGATTCAGCAGGAAAAAGAAAAACATAAAGGTCATACACACAACCAGTAGCAGACTGTCATACGAGAGAAGAAAAAATAGATTGAAGAGTCATCGAGACAAAAGAAATGTACACCCTCTCTGCAGTGAAAAGTACTATAGTGAACACCCTTCAAAATATATTACATACATTCTCATTTGTAAATATGCTCCCTCTTGGTACAATACATTTAACATTTCTAATCAACAATAGATGTATCATCTAGCTGACATTCAACAAAGACCATCACAGAACTAGATCTCATACCAAACTAGAAAATGATGTCAAAAGAGGCATCATATCATTGTAAAAGGGAAATGAAATTATGATTCTGCAACAATTTCAAGTGTAATGAATGTGCTCAAACTAATGATGAACATAAGAGCTAAAATTAAACCCAGCATAACATGAATTGTAAAGTTTAAAGCTTTTTCTGCCTGACACTTGCTGCTCAACTCATAGTTTCATACCCTGCTGCAAACCGGTTCTCTTATCCCTCACAAGAATAATCTCAATAATATGTCCATATTCTCCAAACACAGCAGCAATCTGAAATCAAAAGAGGAGAATAACCCATTTACAATCAGAAGGATTAAGCAACACAAATTTGCAAAACTTAAATGTTTATTGTCATGCACAAGGCAAACAATCCAAAAAAACAAAAAAAATCAGAGTTAACTAACTCAGCAAGATGTTACAGCAGCTTACATCTTGTTCAGTGGCATCCCTTGGAAGCCCCACCACGTACAGCTTCACGAAACGGCCACAATCAACACCATCTGTCGATCCTTATATTAGTGAATAATGCTGGAAAATAGTTCAAAAAAATTTAATCTGGAGAAAACAGAGTGTTGGAGTTACTAGAATGATGGAACTGTCTCTTCTGCCCGGAGAGAGGTTGCGAATTGGAATTGGTGTTGGGGTAGTGGCCGGTGGATTCAGTCTGCTCGCCGTTAAAATTGCGGTGGTCTGCCTCGTGGTGGTGGTTGTGGCAACCACCGTGTGAAACGTCGTCGTCTTGCTGGTGGTAGCCGCCGTCTGCAAGAAAAGACGACGTCATAGCAAAGTGATCGGAGGCGAGGTTCAGTCCTTGGCGTTTATTATTATTCGATTTTCTTTGCTCACGAATTTAATTACAATTTTAGCCTAGAGTAACAACTCTTTTGTCATTTTTGTAAACGATAAACTTATATTAATAAACACAAAAAATTGTATAAAACACACACACAAAAATTCCAAACTAACATATAATTAGAACATTTCACAGTTGTAGGTAGCAAACAACTAATTAATATGAATTTAGGCTAAATAAATTAATCAAACAGCTAATTAAATTCAACTGGTCAAAGATAGAAGAGGCGTCAATAGTCAATACTCACACTAATAAATAAAACCTCTCAGCCAATGACATCTTGGCCTAGTGGTAAGAGTGAGGCACCCTTGACATGAGGTCAAGGGTTCGAGCCCCCGGAGCGCAATGGTGGAACAATTAATACTGAGGACTAGAAACCACAGTGTGGGAAGCTGAAACTCGGTGGGAACCAGCGGCTGGATAGGTTGGGCCAGCATGAAGTTGGGAGGGCCAGCGAGCGATCACTTCGGTGGGAACCAGCGGCTGGATAGGTGGGGCCAACTTGGAGCTGGGAGGGCCAGCGAGCGATCACTTGGGGATCGACTCCTTGT